CTTCCGCCGGGCCTTCGAGCTGCCCAAGTACCACGTGGTGCGCGGCCTGCAGTCGCTGCTGCCCGCCGAGTGCGTGTGCCCGCCGCCCGCCGCGCTGCCGCCCAAGCCGCGCGCCGCACCCGCGCCGCTCTTCGCCTGCGGGCCCGCCGCCGAAGGTGAGGCTGGGGGAGGGGTGCGTGGATGCTCTGGGTCACCCCCGGGAAGGGAAGGTGAGGCTGCGGCTGCTGTTGAGGGGCTGCGGACAGGCCCTGGGCCCGCCCGCCGGAAGGGGAGGCTGGGGGGGCGGGGGAAGAGGCCCTGCCCTCCCCCTCACCCCCCAAGGGGAGGCCAGGGGAGGGGTGGATAATAGGCCCTGGGCTCGCTGGGGAAGGTGGAGGGGGGTTCGGACCCTAGGCCGCGGGAGTGGAGGAAGGGGTGGGCCCTGGGCCTGGGGGCTGCTGAGGGTCAGGGGTGGGGGGATGGACAGATGGGGGGCCCACGCCCTCCAGGCTGAAGGCCACACTCCCCGCCCGCAGCCAGCTCACAATGCTAGTGAGGTCCCGGGCGCCCTGGGCAGTGCTGGCTCCCTACCCTTCATGCTGAAGCCCTTTGGAGCCCAGCCCAGTCTGTCCCTTCACCGGTATGAGTGGTCTCTGGGTGGGCAGTGTCCCCACTAGCCGGTGACAGATGCGCTGTGAGCCCCCTAGGAGCATGCGTCTTCCACCAGGAGCAGAAAGTATGAGAACCTCAGTGGACATTCTTTTGATGCTAGGACTCTAGAATCAGACCGTTTTTTGTTAAATATTCAGCGCATTTTAAAAGCCTCACCCTTTTCCCATATGGACAATTTTTTTCTTAAATGATGAAGTGTTTTATTTAGATTTGGTCTTTCTTCATCTTTTGGAAACTCTGAATGCCGCAAGGTTAGCAAGTCATTATATACATCTTGTAATCCCTTCACATACTAGGCACACAATGTACAGGGTCATGCGTCAATGTAATATTATCAACACAGCATAAACACTTAAGCAGTAGATAACGTTTCACATAAAAGAGGCTCTATGCATCATATGGCCTGACCCCACAGAAAGCAAAGCAAACGTTAGAATGCCATTTCAGCAGTTACAGTGTTGGTAGAATCAATAGAGTTAATTTGTTTCATACCCATCATGTATTTCCATAAGACATCCATAAGGAAGAAGGAAGGGACAAAACCCGTTTTTCCCACGTGGGTAAATTGTTAAAAGTCGAAGATGACTTTGGAGTTCTCCCCATGGAAGTGTTTTCAAAACCCCTGCTTCCTTCCGGCCTCTTTCCCTTAGAGGCCTGTGGCGCTTTACCTGTGCAGGTGAAGAGGTCGATCAGAGTGTACCGGGGAGCTGTCCCACGAGGCCGACTTAATTAAACCACTTCCTTTGTCCGATATAAGCCCCGCTGCTCTGTGCAGCCCCAAAGAGAAATCCATTTTCAAACCTCTCAGTTTGTATTAATTTCAAATTAAGGGTTCTGTGTGGCGACAATACTCTTATCAAGGATAGCTTGATGCCAATTGATATGGTAGGGATAGCAAATTGTAAAACAATTGCTTTTACACACTCCAGTGAATTTTCTAAGTCCTGTGATGAAATACTAATTTTTACAGCCTTTTGATTAGAAGTGTCTATTTCTCTCCCTATCGGTTGTTAAAACGGACGTGAGTCAAAACTTTGCCTTTACTTGAAGAGTAGGGCTCTGTGTTGCAAATGAAAGCCTCTTTTCAAACATCAGTATTTTTTCTCCTCTTCCCCACAGGTATGGTTCATGATGCATGTGGGTTTAAGATAACGTCTACCACCATTGTTTTGGGCTTTATTCCCCCCCCCCCACACTCTGGTGCCGAAACCCGAGATTGTAGCTCACTTACAGTTACTAATGTCATTCTTACTAATGACCACGTGGCACTCAGATGATTTTAGCTTCAGTGATTTAAAATTGTGTGCTAGCAAATGTCCTCGAGGCACTTAAAACCATTTCAGTTGTAACGTGTTTTTATGCGTTGTTTTTTTTTTTCTACAATCAGGAAAAAGGCCTGTGTCATATCAACACTTATCTAGCAGCATGCTACAGAAGAGAAACTATGAGAATTTTATTGGGAATGCACATTATCGACCAAATGATAAAAAAACTTGATTTCCTGTTTCAGGTAAGAAAGGTAAGCATATATGATCTATTGATTTTAGTTCATTGAAAAGAAACCATCTAGTTCATTCAGTAGAATATAAAATAAAATTATTTTTGATTTTTAAAGTGTTCTTAAGACCTCCAGTGCTCAGGGTCTCCGGATATCCGTGATGATGGTAACTAATAACAATAGTACCGACTGGAATTTACTAAGCATTTATTTCGTGCTCAGCCTGGAAGTGTTTTTATAATCATGACCTCATTTAATCCTTCCCACATGCGGGGGGGGGGGGGGGGGGGGGGGGGCATTAGGCCAGGGATTAGCAAACCTCCACCTGCTTTTATCTGCAAAGTTTTACTGGCACACAGTTGTGTCCATGCCTTTCCATATAGCTGATGGCTTCTGAGCCACATCAGCAGAGTGGTAGTTGTGACAGAGAGCGCATGGCCTGCAAAGCTGAGAATATTTACATTTACATTCTGGCTCTTTACAGAAAATGGTTGCTGGGTTGGGAGGTCCCGTGCACCCTTTACGGATGAGGGTACCGAGACTTGGGTCGCGTCCCACTCTTTTTAGTTCTGTCCTACCATGACCCAGAGCCTGGGCCCCAACCCTCATGCTTAAGAGCTTGTTCAAAACCTCGGTGCATCCTTATCTGTTGAGGGAGGGGAGCGGGACAGGAGCGCGGAGGTGCATTTTGACAACGTGGTTCACATGGCGAAGGTGCATTTTGACAACGTGGTTCACATGGCGAATGTATCTAACTGTAGATACACAGAAGACTCCAGCAGGACCCTCAGAGTTGTGTTAATTCCGTTGAGTTAATTCCGAGTTTGGCCACAGGGCCTGATGTAAGCCCAAGTTACTCTAGACCTCATTTACCAATAAATTGAATGACAACAGCTGGGTTTATGGACAGATTTGAGTTCTCTCCCAGAAACGCTTTTCGTGTCTAACGCCCACCATGTCCTCCTGGTCCCGTGGCAAGATGTCTCCCTCTTGTTTGCATGTGGGGCCCATCGGGCTGATGCAGGTCTATGCTCCTTTCTCCCCTCACTTAGTGAAAGTAGAAGGAGAAAGGAAGTGTTGTCGCAGGAGCGGGATTCAGCCTCCTCTCCATGAAAACAAAACAAATCGTTGATGGATTATAAGGCACAGCTAATTTGTAACAGGTTACTTGCACTGTAAGGGCACAGTCTGTCAGTCACAGAGGATGCCACTGTCCTGTTGGTCCCGCCCCGGCCTCTTTCTGTAACCTCTGAGCATCTCTGCTTGCATTTCCTCTGCCTGGAACATCCTTCTGCATTCTGGGTGCCAGATGACCTCTCTCTGATACGCGGGACCAGTTAACATCATTTCCTCAGGACGTCTGCCGGGAACCAGGGACTTCCCTGGCCGCTGCCCCTTGCTTGTGCAGTTCACCCCCACGTCTACCCCTCTTACCTGTGTGCCCCAGTTCACTGCTAGCTCCGCTTGAGAGGAGATTGCTTTGTTCACTGCCTCGCCCGCTGCCGGGACCATCACTGATCAAACCCGTTAGATGTTGGCTGAACAGATAATGTTATCACCTTTCGGTTTCTTGTGGTGGCCTTTGCCAGGCTTCGTGTAACTGATGCAAATGCCGATTCTTGGTGAGATCCTCTTCGTTAAATCACCGTTCAGAATGTAGTAGTATCCTCTGGGGTGGCGCAGCGTTGTGTAGAGTCCTGGTACTTTCATTGCAACGATTTTTTTTTTAAGGTTTAATTTGTTAACCTCCACCCCCATCGTGAGGCTTGAACTCACAACCGGGAGATCGAGTCACATGCTCCACCCACTGAGCCAGCCAGGCGCCCCTTCGTTGCAACATTTGAGCTTAAGGGGAGCTCCGTGCATTTCTAGATCCCTTTGGTTCTGTTTATTACACTTCTTTATTAAAAGAAAAAAGATTTTCCCAAGCTGTTTTCAGTTTTATCTTGATCCGCTCTCTCTAACCTTTTCCCCCCGTAGGACCCGATGGATGTGTGTTCTGTCCATGAAATTGAGTGAGTCCATCCTTTGAGAAGGCAGATGGCGGAAGCTCGTGAAATAAGCTGTGACCGTGCCGTGCATGTAACATACCAGGAACACTACGGTTTTGTAAAGTTGTTCTGTTAACTTTTGTACCAAATAGCAATAAAAACCATAGTTGGAACAGTTGGGTTGTACACAAATGGAGACTGCAAATCTCTATTTTGCCCCGAATAATATTTTTTTTAGAGTTGACCAAATAAGGAGTCTTTTGCATACTTGAGCGCTGCTGAACACAAACCATCCAGGTGGGGGGGCGGGGGGGGGAGAGTCTATAACGAACGCTTGCACCTCAGGTAACTCTGTACATATGTAAGTTCGAAACCTGCTTGTTCAGATACTGTGCGTCCCCTTTCTCTCTCCTGTAGCTCATCCCCATGAGCAGCTCCTGCTGTTTGTGTTCTTTCATGGAAAATGTATGTTTAAAAAAAAAAAAATTCCCGATGATTTGTATTATGTTAAATCCTCCTCAGTGCGTCGTCTTAACAAAATTGTGAACGGAAGTATTGACCCTCTGTGACTATGTGCTGCATATACTGAGGTCAGCCATTCTGAATTCGGTGCCCTTTCATTGCAAGTGTCAGTCTGTCAACTGAGGAAGAGTCCCGATCTGCGACCCTTTTCTGAGAGCAGCCTGTGCCCCGTAGGGTTTTTAAGCGGACGTGTCTACAGAGAAGTGCGTCTGTCCTCTTCAGGACAGCCCCATATCCAGTAAACATACCAAATTCTATGTGGAGTTACTTACTTTCTATCAAGTTCGTCACTTTTGTTGGAAAATTCAGGGTTTTTTTGGCTTTCGCTTAAATTGGTATGTAAAAAACCTGAAATGCTAAATTACACACGTGAATTTCATATATTGGGAGCGGTTTTAAAGGACGTGAAAGCGTTTGGGTAAATTTTAGGTTTGTATCTGGAAGTCCTGGTGTGCCTGGCCTTCGGGTTAACCGTGGACGTACACGAGTTAATTGTAGACACGTTGATTCTGAATAAGGAACTGCCTGCCGAGCCTTCTGGTAATGGGGAGGGTGCGATCTGGTTCTTGACCTCAGTTGTCTTCCCAGTTTTGGTTGTGTTGAGCAACCAGATGTAGTTTGGGTTTTAAAGCGAGGATGGCCACCAGCTGGCTTACTACCAGATGTTTTAGACTTTTGTTCCCTTCCACATGCTGTCCGTGGCTGAGTTTATTCAGCAGTACGTGGGTTTAGCAACCACGAGATATTTTATTAAGAAAACTGTTTCAAAAATAAATTTGCACTGTTACGTTTTCTTGCCCTGCCTTTCTGCGTTAGAGCGAGAGTAAAGTCCTACAAGAATCCTGATTTTTTTTTTGTTTTGTTTTCATTATGCAACACGAAGCGTACTTGACCGAGAAGTCTTAACTCCCGTGGGAAAGGGAGACCTGATTGGTCTGTTGGCCTTGTAGTGAAGTGCTTTGTATCAGGAGAGACTAGTACACTATCCACCATTTTTCCTGTTCACAAGCTGAGCCATATGTACATAATCTAGATTTTTGTTTTCATAGTTTTGCACTTTTATAGCCTATTTTTGAAGATTTAACACATTTGCAAGATGATTGACTTGATCTTTGCCTAATCCAATGAGTGTTACAGAAAGCTCGCTGTGACTATAAAATGTAAATCTTTAAAAGGGGATACGAGATAATAGAGGGCTGAAATTTAAACCTGTATTTAAAAAAAAAAAAAATCACCAAATCTATTTGAAAACAAGTCAATTCATGTCATGCTGAAATTTGGGTGGCTTTCAGATTTCTCTTTTCTAACCACATTTCTCAATTTCTGAATACATAAAAATGTCCTTTTTTCCACAGCCCTTGTCCTCCAATTTTTTTTTTTTTTTTTTTTTTTTTCATTTGAAACAACAGTACATATAATAGAGGTACAATCCGTTGGATTTTTGTTTATGTATTTATTTCATTCCAGTTTGATTTATTTTAATTGTCGATACTTGTCAAACAGTAGACATTACTTGTTTTATTTATGATATATTTCAGCTTAAAGTTATGTTATTATATGTGGATGTAAATATAGATTTGGTGTTTTGCAGTCTTGGTTTGGGTCTTTATTGCGTCCCTCATTTCTGCTTTCAACTTTTTAGAAATACAACTTTAAGCCTGCAGTTTAGTGGAGGGGTTCGTGTAATGAATCCTCACCCTCGCCAGCAGCATTTTTTTCTCCCCCGAGTATTTTAAAGCGAGTCTCAGACACGATTGAGTTTCATCCCTACGACCCTTCACTGTGAGTCCCTAACGGATAAGGGCTTTCATGGTCACACGTAACCAACCACGATGTCCACACAGCCTTGCAAAAGTCTTGTCTTAGATTTGGTCAGTTGAGTTGTGATCGAGACCCAAACAAGATCCACTTAGTTTAGAAGATCGTTTTTTATTTACTTATTTATTTTTATTTATTTTATTTTATTTAAAAATGTTTTCTTTTAACGTTTATTTAATTTTGAGACAGAGAGAGAGCGTGAACGGGGGAGGGTCAGAGAGGGAGACACAGCATCGGAAACAAGCTCCAGGCTCTGAGCTGTCAGCACAGAGCCCGATGCGGGGCTCGAACTCACGGACCGTGAGATCATGACCTGAGCTAAAGTTGGACCCTTAACCGACTGAGCCACCCAGGCACCCCTAGAAGATCGTTTTTTTTTTTTTTTTTTAAAGCCTGTTTTAATTCACATCTCCCTCCACACACACCTTAGAGGACATTTTAGTGAAGAGGCTGGGTCATTCGTCCTGTAGAAGTTGGCATCTTCTTAGGGTTTATTGCATATTTGTGGTTTCATCTGACCTGTTTTTCCAGTCTATCTCCTATAAACTGGTGAATTAAATCTAGGGGTTTAAAGTAGATTTGAGCTCAGTTTTGGGGAGCAGGGGTCTGTGTGCTCCCAATTGCATCACCTCTGGACATGTACAATATTTGGTTTTCCAACCTGTAGTGAAGTTTGATCAGTGGGTTCAGGTGTCAGACTAACCAGCCGTAATAAAGTTCCCCATCAACCTTTCTCCTTCGGGTTTTAGCAGCCACGGACGAACATTAGGGATGTTGCAAAAGGTGATTTTTTTTTTTTTTTTTAAGTTCTGTCATTTCCTCTGCATTTATTATTGGACAGAAGACCTCATGTGATTATTTGATGACCTTGAAATACAGCTTAAACAAGAAAGGATAAATAAAACTTGATTCTCCCCCTTGATTAACCAGCCTTGAGAATAATGTCTGGTCCCAGACAAGACTGGTGAATGAACTTTTGAATTTTTTGTTAAGAACTCCTTGTACATTTGACAAGTTGTAAGCAAATTGCAGGCATCATTTTGACGCCCAGAATCTTCGGGGTCTCTGGCCGACAGGGTCTCTCCTTCAAGTTGGCTGTGTTTTGGACAACACTCTGGAGGCTTCTTAGTTTTAAGGCAGGTGTTCTGAGCTCTCCTTGACCATTTCCTGACCCGGACCTGGAGAGTTACTTACCTGAGGACCCTGGGTTCCTTTTCTGGGAAATGGTAATTAGAAATGGTGATTTGGGGGTAGGCTGCTTCAACCCCAGGGCCTTCATAACAGAGAAAGGATATCTATGCTCTTAAAGAGTAAAACCAAACAACACTTGAATGAATTATATTGCTGTTTTCTGCCCTGCCCTGCCCTCCCCTCTTGCCTTTTTCTTTCCTTCCCTCTTCCCCTCTTTCCCTTTCTTCCTCTTTACTTTCTTATTTTTAAGCCATTTCTAAGCCAAAGAGGGGACTCAAACTACAACCTTGAGATGAAGAGTCACGTGCTCTACCAACGTAGCCAACTGGGTGCCTCTATATGGCTGTTTCTGTCTCAGAATTAAAATAGTGCTTTTGTTTCTTTGATTTTTATATTGGATTCTCTGAAAAGTTGGGTTCCCGATACCCACAATGGCTTGCTTTACGCTACTACATATAGCAAGGAAGTCATGATGCCAATATTCTTACCAACGTTCTAAGGGAAGATTTCAAACTTGTTCAATTTCACTTGTTTGTAAGTGGGTTCTCAACTGGTGGTCCCAGATTAGCAAAATCATCATCGCTGGGAAGTTGCCAGAAATGCCAACCATCAGGCTCACACACCCGCTGAATCAGCAACTTTGGGGGGTCGGGGGGGGGGGGTCCAGCCGTCAAGTCTTCCGTGGTCCCTGCTGTCTACTGCGTAAATTCCACTCCAGAAACAAGCATGGTTGAGGGAGCCCAAGCTTCTTTATGTGGGCTTGCCAACATACGCTCTTGGGTTCAGTGTTTTCCATCTTGAGATCCTACTTTGTCTTTTTTCCCTTTTAAATACAGTTTCGTTATGTAAAACAGTTTCTTAAAACCATGAGACCAGGTATATAGCCAGAGAAGCTCACTAGCTTTTCATCCGTTCCAGCCTGCTCCCAACCTTCTATAAAGCAACCGTTTCATAAAATTAGTTTTTGATTTATCCTTCCATTGTTTCTTTCTGCAAAGATCGAGGTGCATTTCTGTTCAGATGCCCTCAGATGAAAAGGAGCATGTAATACACGGTAGTGCAGGCTGACTTCAGTGGTTTTATTTAATTTTTTCTTAAGAAAGCACGCTTTTCTCCTGAAAACCTAATGGCTCCAAGGGGGGAAAAATTACATCTGGAGAGGTGAAGGAAGTTGGTGGCCTCTCTGCCTGTTTTTAATTTTTTTAAATGTTTGTTTGTTTTTGAGAGAGTGCAAGTGGGGGAGGGGCAGAGAGAGGGGGAGACCCAGAATCCGAAGCCGCTCCAGGCTCAGAGCCGGCAGCACAGAGCCCCACGCGGGGCTTGAACCCACGAACTACAAGATCATGACCTGAGCCGAAGTCGGACGCTTAACCGACTGAGCCACCCAGGCGCCCCTCTGCCTGTTTTTATTCATTCCGCGTGTGTTTGTTTGCCAGGTGCTTCGCGCTGGTGCGGGGCGCGGGGGGAGTCTGTGTCCCATGAACCAAAGTAGGTCTTCTACCCTCCTAGAGCTAACTAACGTCCTCCGGGCGGGTGCCGAAGACGGGCTGAAAACCGGTAGACCCAACTGTGACCAGTTGCAATAATGGAAGGAAACCAGCAGGAGACAGAAGAATGTGGAGCACAGAGCTGAGGGGTGAGGCCAGCTTCTGAACAGATAACTAAAGGATAAAGGCTGCTGGCCTTTTATTCTTTGTTGCGGCTCTTCTGTGCCACCCACGGAGGATGCTTGGCCATCGCTCTGGCCCCCGCCCACCGGGGGGCCAGTAGCACCCCTCCCCGTTGTGGTTTTGTAACCACCCAAAGTGTCTTCAGGCCATCCAAAATGGCCCTGGGGTGCCAAGTGGTCCCAGTGGAGCACCGCAGCTCCTGGGACGAATTCGGAGTTCGGGCAAGAGCCCGAGGTATTGAGTCTCGAGGATTTGGGGCCATGATGGACGTGCAGGGAAGGCCTTTGAAGGTATCCGGGCAGATGGTGGCATCAGATTTACGTTTTAGGATAACTCTGGAAAAAACCAGAGAAGCAGGATGACAAGATGTCCACTCCTTGCGTTTGTACAAAGTCTTACCAAAGAAGAAAAAAAAAAGTCAAAACTTTTTTCCTGCCCTTGTTACCCTTAGTCACCCAGGGAGATTTCATCACCACTTTGGCCCGCCCATCAGGCTCCCGAATTCCTGTGGCTGTTCTGGACCCCCCGCAGAATCCCATTCCCAAGCTCTGACCTCCCCCGGATCCTGACAGACCAGGGATTCTTACTTACTCTGGAGTGAGAAGTTACCTAAACTTCCTAGGTTTTCAGGCATCTGTAATCTCATTAGAATGATCATCCAAATGTCCTCGAGCTAAGTGCCTGACAGGCATCATCTTTGTTTAGGGACTGATTGCCACCCTCAACCCCGGGGGGGTGGGGGTGGGGGTTTCCCTTTAACCCCCAGCAGCCCTGGGTTGGGATTTTAGGAACAGATGAATCCTTTCCAGAGTCCTCACCTCCGACGACACAGGACCCTGGGGTTCAGAGGTCTGAGTGCATCTGTCTGCATCGGGACCGCCTCCAGCCCTGCCCCTGAGGCCAGCTGTGTCCACGCAGCCACCCAGGCCTCCCCGGACGATTAAAGCACCAGCCACAGCTTTCCCCAGGCTCCACTGAAGGCTCCAGACCCTTCAGCAGCCTGGGAGAACTCATTTCCTCATCCAAGCGGAGAGCAAGCCTGCTGCCTCTTTTCCTGCAAAACCTCTGGGCACACACACCGATCGCCTCCTGTCTCCTCTGTTGCTATCCCCTCGGCCAAGCCCCTCTTCCCCCCGGAGGGCAGCCATCGCCTCCCGTCCCCCTTCCTCCCTGTTCAACCTCCTCTCCCCGGGCCGGATCTCTACGTGGGTGTTGGAACTCTTTTTTAACATGTAGATAATTTTACCCAGGTCCCTGTTCAAACCCTCCACGGACTTTCAGTCGTAGGATAAAACCCCAAATCCTTGGCCTGACCCCTGGCCTCGCTTAGCCTTCTTCCCTCATCATTTTTTACGGCAGCCACAGAGGCCTTGGTTCTCCTTCTGGAAACTTCTGGGCACCTTCCTCTTTCAGCAGTGGTATCCTTGCTATTTCGAGGCCTGGCAACACTTTTATCTCGGGTAGCCTGCCCTGCTCCCTGACTTCACCCGATTGTGCTCGTAAGTCACCTGCCCCGAAGCCTTTCCAGCCTCCTTAACGTCTGTATCTGGTTATTTTTCCTCATAGCACTCACTACCACCTGCCGTTAGGCTGTGCACTTGAAGGTGGGCTCCCCAGGGGAAGGAATGTATTGATGTTTCCCCTGGGCATAGCACAAAGCTCCTCTCTCCTTCAATAGGTGCGGGGAGGATGGAGGGATGGATGGATGATGAATGGATGAATACGATTTATTCCAGCCCAGCAATCCTTTAATGGCAGAGAGGTGGTCTCCTAGAATTATCTCCGAATAACCTCCTACCTGTGAGATTATCCGCTGAGTCACTGCGGGTAAGCATTTCCATCTACCTGTGGCAAAAACGTAAAGCACACTCAAGGCTTGTTAGTTTCTTATCCCTTATACATCATTGTACC